TGATTTTCCTTGATGTGCTACATCCCAAAAGCAATATCTCATCAGCAAAAGCAGTCCTTTGTCACCATGAAGACTCACTTGGTCATATCCAGGATCATGGGCAGCAGCCCCTCTGCAGTCCCTGGGGATCTTGATCAGTTCCTTTGTAGGGGGAGCCTTGGGCAATGCCCCTGCCTGCTTGGCTGCCTGCTTGTCTGATTTGAAGAGCCATTTCAAGAGGCAGCTTTCTTTCCCTTTCCTCCCTGCCAGGTTCTTTCTCTCTTTAGCTCCTCAACCCTGCCCCCCTTTGCCAGCTGATTATTCCGGATCCGCTGACTTAGGTACTTTCTCTCCAAACCAATCAGGGAGCAGTCAGCCCCGCACAGCACACACGGGCAGGCTCACCACAGCTGGGAGCTGGAACCCAGGCTTGCTAAATTGGGAGGATTAGGCATGACTCCAGGTTGGGCTGAGAAAGCACTGTTCTCCCCCAGCCCCCACCCCACCCAGGGTAATCTTTGACTTTTGCCTGGGGCCATGGACTCATCTTGAGGGTAGGTACTTGCCTCCTGTGCTTGCTTATTTTGAGGGGATGATTGGAGTCTTAACATACCTGTGAAGGCTTAGCCTGAAGGGAACAAAAGCAGGTGCACCCTCCCTTTCCCTCCCCCCTCACCTCCATAGGTGTTCACTGAGCAGCTGGTGCATCACGAATGCTTTAAGTGAAGAGGACAAAGCAGTGAACAAAGTTGACCCCAAAAATGTATGCTTGCATTATACTCACAGTCATATGGACTGGACAGACTGGACAAGATAAAGAAGGAAAATATACCAGATTTTTAGATAAAGGCTGAAGGGGAAAGATTAAGCAGGGGAGGGGCATTGGAAGAAGGGAACCTCAAGAGAAGACTTAAGGGAAATGGAATGGAAAGAGCATTCCAGATGCACATGCAGATGTCCTGGGGCAGGAATGTGTTTAATGTGCTTGGGGCCTGTGGAGGAGGCCAGTGTGGCTGGAGCCAATGACCAAAGCAGAGAGTAGAGGAGTTGAGGGTTATAGAGGTACTAGGGGTCTCACTGGCTTTTGGGGGGACTTTGGGTTTTCTTCTGAGATCAGATCCATAGAAATTTTTCATTTAATTTTTGTTGTTTTCAAACAGGGTCCCACTGTGTAGCCTAGGCTGACCTCAAACTTGAGGTGATTCCCCTGCCTCAGTCTCCCAAGTACTGGATTACAGGCATGCACCAGCACAGCCAGCCCATAGAAAGGTTTTGAATGCTTCCACATGTATGAGGATTGCATTGTCCTTTCTTCTTATTCATGCCATTCCACCATTGCTCTTTTAAAAATCAAAATTGGGGATTTCTTTGCAATCCTCTTTGCCTGAGTAGGGGCAGAAGCCTGCTAGAGAGGACTGTTGAATTTTCCTGTGTGGGTCAGAATGTGCAGGAGAAAGCTTGGAAGAGACAGGAGCCCCCACCTTTTTGCATGACTCAGAGCCCCAATTACCTGAGCTCCACCTACCCCTGAAATAGATCTCAGGCATTGCTACTGCTCAAACTTAAATTCTGCTGTGCACTCAAACCAGGAAATCTTTTCTGAGACCACCCTGACTCAGCAGCTGGAAGTGGGGCCTGAGCCTGCTGCAGTCCTCACAGGTGCTGCTAGTGCTTTGAGAGGCATCACCGATTCCCATTTAGGTGTGTGTATATGTTTGCAGGGTGTGTGTCTGTGTGAAGGGAGCGGGCAGTGGCATGTGATAGCCTGCTGCCACCTTCCGGGACTGTACCTGAAACCTTTAGCTAAGGGCTGAGGCAAAAGAAGCTACATACCAGCCATGTCACAGCAAGAGGCCAGGGCAGCACATGAGAGGGACTGCAGCTTGGTCCAGAAGCAAACAAGCGGCCTGAGTTGGCAGAGAGAAGTGAAGTCGCATTCAAAGCATGGCAAGCAGAGGCCAGGGAAGGGCTTAGTATGCTTCTCTGTGTACAAATATTGTCACTTATTTTCTGGGCTAAAGGGTGAGACAGAGTGGAATATTGTGTGACACAGCCCGGCTTTGTTCTCCAGGCTCCTAATGACTGTGGGCTCAGAGGCAGGAAGCCAATCAGAGATGATCGTCCGCAGGGCTGGCTTTTGTTGTCTCCCCAAATTGCCCTGAGAATCTGCTTTGCTTTTCGGAGTGCGTGGAGCGCAGCATCAGCTGCTTCCAGCTGGAGCAGAGGCTGGAGCCAGCGGTGGAGGGAGCCTGACTTGCCTGCCGTCTTGAGGCTTTTGCTCCTGGGTTTTCTGTTTCAGACTTTGTTTTTCCAACTGGAAAATGGGTTTATACTTCAGTCCCCCCTTCCTACTTCAGAAGGATGAGTTGATGAAGCTTCCAAAGTATCAAGCTGACTCTAGGGCCAGAGGGGAGGTTGAAACTGGTTAGTGCTCCCAGGAAAAAATTTGGAGGAGGAGAGAGGTTTCCCATGGACAAGACCCTGCAGTGTGTGGTATCCAATCCCTCTGTGAAGCAGTGGATTCTGGGGTCTCCAGGGGACACTCAGCAATGTGGGGAGGCACTTTGGGTTGTTGTAACTGGAGGGGACATGGCATTGGGTAGAGAGCACAGATGTGGCTCAGCTTTCAGTACCCCGGACAGCGCCCTCCACAGAGAGTGACCAGGCCCCAAATCTCAGTAGGGCCAAGGTTGGAATCCTTGTTCCTGAGAGCCTGGACCCTGGGACAGATCATCTGATGCAGGACTATGGGGCCTCTTCAATGCGGGGGAGAATTCTCAGCATTCAGAGAGCAGTTTGCAGAGAGAGAGAGAGAGAAATGAATGAGGCATCTAGGGAGAGCCACAGACTTCCCCTCCTTCAGATCTTGAAAGATCAGCTTCTCAGTTGTCTTCCCTGACCACTGTATGTTTTTATTGAGGTGAAATTCACATAACACATTTTAAAGTGACTAACGCCGTGGCATTTAGTACACTCGCAGTGTTGTAAAACCAACTGTCTGGTTGCAAAACATGAAGCAGTCACTCCACACTGCCTGGGCTTCCTGGCTTCCTGGCTCTGTTAATGGCCTCTTCTGGACATTTTACACATATGAACCATGCGCTGTGTGCTGCTTTTGTGTTGACTTCTTATACTTGGCATAGTGTTTCTGAGGTTCATCTGTGTTGTAACCTGGATCCGCATTTGATTTTTTATGGCTGATTCAGTGTTCTATCAGATGGGCCACACTTTTTATTTTTTATTAGTATATATCTGTGATGCATAATAATTCCATTCATCGTGGGGAGTTGGTACATAGAAACTGTATCTTGTTTCCAACTTCCCTTTCCCCTCCCCGATTTCCATCTCCCCCATCCTCAGGTCCCTGTCCCGTCTCTCTAAAGTGTACCTCTCTGCTTCCTATCATCATTTTTTGCTCTTTAAATTACTTATACCTCGGGTTTCTCATATAAGAGAAACCACGGGATATATAAGCTTCTGTGTCTGATTTATTTCGCTTAACATTATGATCTCAAGGTGCATCCATTTCCCTACAAATGACTCAGGCTTATCCTTCTTTATGGGAGAGTTGTATTCCATGGTGTGTAAATACTACATTTTCTTTATCCATTTATCTGTTGATGGACATACGGTCCGCTTCCATGATTTAGCTGTGTGAGCTGTGCTTTTAAACTAGCACGTTTTTGTTTTAATTGTTTGCTTTTGTGGTCCTGGGGATTGAACCCAGGGCTGCCTGCATGCTAGGCAAGCACTCTACCCCTGAGCTACAATCCCAGCCCCAAGTTGTGCTCCTATAAACATGGGTATGCAGGTGCTGCTTTTGTTGTTGTTTATTCATCATATTGAGGACATTCAGTGCAAATCCTCCACAGATTCCCAGATGCTCAGGTCCCTTCTCTAAATGGTGAACTCTTTGTGTAGATCTGCACACATCCTCCCCCTGACTCTACCTCCCCTCTTGATGAGTTTTGTTCCTGAGGCCGTGTAGATGCTGTGGATGACATTGTTATGTTCCATTGTCGAAGGGATAAGTGCGAGAAGAAAACATGTCTGAATGTGATCGGTGCAGACAGTTTTTTGTTCCTAGGTACTTTCCATCGCAGTTGGTAGAGTGGCCGTGGAGCTTGCGGATGTAACAACATATGGGCGCCCTGTCCAGCATGGTCCCTGCGATGTAGCTCATTTCTTTACTTTCTTCTCCTCCATGAGGCCTGAAAATTGTTTTGCCCTCCCTCGGCTCTGTTCCTAGTGTCCAGAACCTTGACAGGCAAACAGTTGATGCTGGAGGTGACATAGCGTATAGGTCCCCAGCCATCGGGGACACACAGCAGGTGAGCAGTCTGTTGGGTAAGAGATCAAAGCTTCCTGTGTCTCCAGCGGCTCCCACAGTTCCCATCACCACCTGACTTTCGCCTACCGTCAGATCCACGTGGTCTTAGGTTCTCAACGGAGCAAGGATCTCGCTCTCGTGTGACCTGCGCGTGCGTGGCAGCGGGGGGCGGGGCTCACAGTGAACTGAGCATGCGCAGGAGCTTGGACAGCCGCCGCCTCGTGAACTGCGTGTGCGTGGGCTCTAGGTTGCAGCTCCTTTAAGAGAATTTAACCCTGATAATCTGAGGAGAAGCCAGGCAGTGATGCCAGCACTAGGGAAAGAAATAATTATGTATCTCAAATATGTACTAGTAAAATTTTAAAAACTAAGAAAATTCCTCTTCACTCTGGTCTGTGAAAAAAGTTGTCTTCCACAGAACCAACCCCTAGTGCCAAAAGGGTTAAAAGACCGCTGCCGTAGAGGACAAATATCTGCATTTTCCTTACCAAGTGACCCACTGGGTTGGGCCCAAGAGGACGTGCTTCTGGCTTGGCCTGGCAGGGCCTGGGAGGGCGGGGTCCTCCGGACGGAGGCGGTGGGGCCACTGGGGGCTCGAGAGCGCTTGGGCCCTGGTTGTGGGAGCGAGTGCCCTACCACCCTCTCCTTTCCTATGAATCAGCCACGGAGATTCTCCTTAACTTCCCGCTACTCCCTTTGAATACATGATTTTAGCCACCATTATAGCGAACTGTATCGTCCTCGCCCTGGAGCAGCACCTGCCCGATGACGACAAGACCCCGATGTCTGAGCGACTGGTGAGCGGGGCGTCGCGGAGGCCGGGGAGGCGGGAAGCCTGACCTGCAGGGCGACAGCATCCGCAGAGAGCGGCCCTGCAGCCCAGCCCCCACCCTCAAAGAGGAGACCCGGTCACCCACGGGACAAACAGTGCCATCGTCCACGAGACATCATAGTCCAAACAGGGTTTGTTGGGGACTGGGCTGTGGCTCAGCGGTGATCGCTTGCCTAGCATGCGTGAGGCCATGGGTTCCGTCCCTTGCGTTGTTAAAAAAAAAAAAAGCAGAATTTATATGAAAAATTTTGACCATATACAAAAACAGTCGTGTGATGAACTCCCCTGAACCCATTCCCCAGATTTAGCCATCATGAAAGTCCTGCCATATTCCCTTCCACTGTCCCCTTTTGTCTCCTTGCCTTATCTTTTTGTTGGAAGTATTCTAAGGCACAGGGCAGCTACACCCTGGAGTCTGCATTACAAAAAAATGCAATATTATCTTAGGTTGCCACCAAGACATTATTCTGCCCAGCATAATAATGACATTAGTTCCCTGGAGTCACCTGAGACCTAGTCAGAAGGCACCTGTCCCTGATCATCTAGGGTTGTCACCTTACAGTTGGCTTGTTCTAACATCCAAACACAGTCTGAGTTTTTTGTTTTGTGTTTATGATACTGGAGTTTGAACCCAGGAATGCTCTATCATTGAGCTACATCCCTAGCTATTTTACTCTTTATTTTCCCAAATTTCCCAGCCTGGCCCCAAACTTGAGATCTTCCTTCCTCAGCCTCCTGAGTACAAGGATATCAGATGTACACCACCATATCTGGCTTGGATATTTTTTCCTTGCAGGAATCAAACCCAAGGCCTTGCACTTGTTAGGCAAATGCTCTGCCACTGAGCCCCACCCCCACCCTGTATAACCTTTCCAGAACCAGCAAAGCGTGGGGAAGAAGAGAGTGTCAGGCTCCCCTTGTTCCTAACACTCCGAATTATTGGTGGTCTTACCACTCTTTAAAAATTTTAATAGCTATCTATTAGATTAGTGTATTCCAAAAAATATAACCACCCTAGTGAACCTGTAATTTCAAGATTTTTTTGGTTTTTGCTTAAGATAAAGCTAAGTAAAAAGAACCTATTGAAAGAATTGTAGGCTAGTAGTAATACCAGTGGCATGATGATGTGGAGAAAAGAAGTCAGGGAGACAGAAATGCAAATGATTGAAGCAAAAGAGCCATTACAGTAACAGATGGGAAAGTCCACCAGGGCGTCCACGGAGCAGAGCTTAGACATTCATCTCAAGTAAGACGCACCATCAGCGGGGAGCCTGAGCCAGCAGGGAGGCTCTGCAGAGAGATTGGAGGTGGGGCTCTGGCCAATTACCAGCCAGTGCAGGAGTATTATTCCAATCCTTTGACAACCTGAACAACAGTGCGGGTGTGTACCTGCTGAGAACCAGCCATAGGGCTCAGCCTTGGGTGTGAGACCAGCACACAGCATCCATCTTCAAAACCTTTGAGTGCTGTGCTTTGACGCTCAAAACAAGCAATTTCTGGCAGGACTTACTACAGTTATAGCCATGTTTCACATCCATGCTGTTGAATAGCTTAGTCATTTGTGAGTGGCTGGTATGACTTCAGGACTGCATTTTTTATTTTATTACATTTAATATATGCATGGCCATTTAATGCCAAATTTGTGGTCATTTAGTGGCCAATGTATGGCCATTTTATGGCCAGGGCTGCCATATTGGATAACACAGCTCTACTTGGCTGAGTGATGGGTGAGATTGGCCCAGAAGGAAGAAGGAAGTTGTCTTCTAGAACCTTTTGCTTTTTTTCACAAAAACTTTTGGACAAGAAAACCCTGGTGGGGTGCTGAGGAGTGTTGAAGGATTGGAGAAAGAGAGGGAGAAGGGGTGGCTTCCTGGGTGTGCTGCCCTCTGCCCACCTAAGACTCCGACCTTCTCTTCCTTCCAGGACGACACAGAGCCGTACTTCATTGGAATTTTTTGCTTTGAAGCTGGGATTAAGATCATTGCTCTTGGGTTTGCCTTCCACAAAGGCTCTTACCTGAGGAACGGTTGGAACGTGATGGATTTTGTGGTGGTGCTAACAGGGTAAGTGGCAGCGCTATGTTCTTCAGATTTATCTCATCGGAGGAGGATGGGGCTTTGGAAGAGGCGTGATTCGTGTGGTTCAGGCTGGGCTCAGGCAGGCTGAGCCCCTGTGTTCCTCTTCCCCATGCTGTGTCTGTGTGCCTCCTTTCCTCTCCCACCTCCGGATCTCAGCACATGCTTTCAGTTACAATTGCAAGAATTATAATTGGCCGTTCCCAGAGTGCTTTCTTTGTATGTTTTCATTTAATCTTCACAATAACCCAATGCATAAGGAAATGCTCATATCCCCCTGTGACCACTGAGGATTCCGAAACAGGGACTTCTTGGTCCCAGATCACCCAACTAGTAAGTGGCAGAGTCAGAATTGAACCTGGGATTGTGTGATTCCAGGACTGAAGTTTCTGGCTGTCGTCCATACATGGGCCTCTTAGTTTGCTTGGAATTGTCTTGCCTTGATGTCAAAGTTGTGAATGTCGGGGATTTCCATGTACAAGAGATTGTGGTTTTGATTGTGAAGAAAAACTAGTCTAAATAAGGTCTTATTGCTGTCTCCAGAGAGTTGTTAAGATCTGAATACAGTGACTCCATAACTGACAGGTGAATGTGTATGTGTATTCTTTCCTTTAAGCAGTCTGTCTACGGTAATACTAGCTACTGTAACAAAAGATCCCAACCTAAGAAATGACCCAAACACAACAGTCTATTGCTCACTCATTGAAAGTCCCAGGTGGTCATCCTGTGTTGGCATGCTAGTCTCCTCTAATGACGGAGGGACCAGGCCTTGGCTCTGTCATGGCTATGCATTGTCAACCACAGGGTCCAAATGCTCTGTATTTGTCTGCATCAAACCACAAAGGAGAGACAGGCACAGAAGGGATATTGGAAAATCCTGTGGGGCTGGAAGGAGCCTGACCCAGCCTCTTCTGTTCATGTGCCAGCCGCCAGAACTGGGTCCCATGATCACACACCCCTGCAAGGGAAGCCGGGAGGGGTCACGTTGTGCTCAGAAGGAAAGAGAAGTGGGTTTGGCGAGTGTCCAGCTAGTCTCTGCAGGGACCCCAGAGACCTCTGTCAGAGCCTGGCGAGGATGTGATCATCTTGTACTGAGAGCTGGCTCCTTCCCTGTCTGCCCTCTGCCCTCCTCCGAGCTAACTCAGCCCGTCTTCTAAGACCTTTCCTCACTGTATGCCTGCCTCATTGCTGTTCTTACCCGAGCATGGCCGCCCCACCAGGGATGTCACTGATCGCAGCACTCACACTGGCCTGACTGGGGTCTCACAATTCAGATCTTGAGCACTGTTTTTGGTTTGTTTCTTTTTTCATTGTTATTACTTATTTATTTCATTAGCATAAGGGGAATTGGCACATCTACGTATCACATCCTGGTCCTTTTTGCTTCCCCTACCCCTCCTGGGCTTCCATCATCCCCAGACCCCCTTCCTACCTTCACGAAGTCTACCTCCCTGTTTCCCATCATCTAGCTTTGACTTTGGTGTTTAAATTATTTATACTTTTGGTTTTTCATTTAAGGGTACCTATGCAATATTTATCTTCTGTGTCTGATTTATTTCACGTAACATTATGTTCTCAAGGTGCATGCATTTTCCTACATATGACTCAAGTTCATCCTTCTTTATGGCTGAATAGTACTCCATTGTGTGTAAATACCACATTTTTCTTATGCATTCATCAGTTAATGGCCAAAGACTTTCTCAAGAGAACTCTGTCTGTTTCTGAGCAATACTGGCTCTCGGGGAAGAAGCTGTGCCAACCACTGTGTCTGTGGAGGTCTTCAGATGCACGTCATCTGTTGTGAGGACCCTGGCCTTGCCCTCATGGGCATCAGTGTTTACTGATGGACTTCTGTTGGTTGTGCCCAGTCATGTGGCTGGTTTCTGGGACATGTCATGATGTTGGTCACATTTATGTTGTTAGGCAACTCATCTGTGAAACAGCCCAGTGGCTGACTTTGTTATTTAAAATATGTAATAAAAATATTCAAGATAGACATGGTGGTGCACACTTATAACCCCAGCTACTTGGGAGGCTGAGGCAGGAGGATCGCTTGTTCAAGGTCAGCCTGGGCAACTTTGTAATTCAGCAAGACCCTGTCTCAAGACAGAAAACATGGGGATGTAGCTCAGTGCAGTGGTCTTGGCTTCAATCTCTAGTACCACAAAAGGAGAAAAAGAAATATATGGTAGTCTTTTTTCATGCTTAAAGTTTTTCAATAAATGTTTCTTCTACCACTTGCATTTTGTATGTCACATGAGATTCATCTGATTAATGAGACCAGTTCGCCTTCACCCATTTTCACTGCTGTACAGTGCTCTGCAGGGTGAATATTCCACTGTGTATTCATTTACCTGGCTTATTTCTGACTTTGGGCTTTTTCAATGCAGCTGCCTGCTCTTTCTCATGAGTGAGTTTTTGATAGGGCAAACTCCCAGGAGTGGGACTGCTGAGTCGTGGACCCCACACCCCCAGCCTCGCTAGATGTTGCCAAATTGCTTCACAAAGTGCCGGTGCCAAGACCTGCTTCCCAAGGGCTGAGCTTGCAGGTGGGGCCTGGCTTGACCTTGCTGGCTGGAAGAAGGCAGATCAAGCCCTGTTTGTTTTTTTAATAACATGGCTCTCGAGAGATGAAGGAAGTCCACAGATCGCTTAGCTTGCGGTGAGTGTCCTGTGGGCAGGCGCATGTGACCCAGGCCATCCTGTCACACAGATGTTTGTGTCTGCTCCAATTCTAGCCGGGTTGTCTTTTTGTAGTTTCTTGACATCCAGTCTCGAGAGGAGAAATGCTTCATCTGGGAGAGGTAGTCCTAGGACATGAGCCTGAGGCAGGACTCAGGAGCCCAAGGAAAAGGATGCAGGAATTGTTGGTGTGTCTATTTTCTGGTCTGTACTTTTCAATATGTTCACAGGAGATTCTGACCCTAAAACCGTGTCTGTCTTTCTCTTTTGCACTACTGGGGATTGAACCCAGGGCCTTCACACTGAGCTTCATCCCAAGTTCTTTTTTTATTTTTTATTTTGAGACAGAGTCTTACTAACTTGCCCAGACTGGGCTCAAATTTATGATCCTCCTGCCTCAGCCTCCCAGAGTGCTGGGATCACTATTATAATAAATTCTTTTCCTTTCTTTCTTTATGCATCCTGGATTCCCTTTTTTTTTTTTCTTATTTTTCTCACTCATATTTGTCTGGTAAGGAACCATTCTTCCTTATTGCCTGGCAGTTCTGTCTCCTTAAATCAGGCACTGAACTCAAATTTCAGTGCTGCAAACCCCAAGAGGCTCCCTAGTTGCCTTCTCTAAGAAATAGTATGGAGCTGGGCATACTCAGTATGACCGTAGTATGGATTGGTGCATGCTTGGAATTCCAGCCTTCTTCAAGGCTGAGGCAGGAGTATAACAGTTTTGAACCCAGCATGGGTTATAGGGTAGGACTAGAAAGGGGAACTGAAAAAGCCTTGCAAGCCTAGATTTCTGCTCAAAATGATGGAGAAATACAGTTAACACTAGTTCTGCATTCCAGTGGGCGGGGAGGATGCAAGTGTGTTTAATTTGACATTGAGACAAGAGATGACTTTAATGAGTACTTTTGATTAACTCATTGTTTTTTAACACTCCTAAGCAAACCACAGCATTAAAACATTATTCATTTTTCATGGGGTACCAGGGGTTTTTGCTTTCTTCTTGTGTAAAGTTCGGTGGAAAAGATCTTACCCCTGGATTTTTCTTGCTTGCTCTTTGTGGCTCAAAGCTTCAGCAGAAGACTAACTTTGTGATTTTATCAAATCCATTTAAAGTGTATTTCCATTGAATGAAGTTCTGGTGGTTAAACTAAAAATGTATAAAAGGAAGATTTCAGAAGCTTGGCTCTGTTTCTGAGATGATGGAGTCCTTTACTGTAATGCTCAGACATGCATAGGTAGATATGACTGGATGGATAGATGGATGAGTGGGTGGGTGGATGTATGAGTGGGTGGATGGATGGATGGATGGATAGGATAGAGAAGGGAATACATGGATAATAGATAGAAAAGAGTTGGATAAACAAGGGACAGATGGATAGATAATGGTAGATTGTAGATATGTAGATATGATGGATGGATAGATAAATAGACGAGATATAGAGAGGAGTACATAGATGGTAGATAAATATGTGAAATGGATACACAAGTGATTGATAGATTGATTATATGTCTATATATATAAGAGATCTTTAAGAGATCAAACACTACAATTGTGCATGTTAAAAAAATAAATTGTGGAGCCACACATGGTGGCACATACCTATAATCCCAGCACTCAGGAAGCTGAGGCAGGAGGATTGCCATGAGTTCAAGGTCAGCCTGAGCTACATAGTGAGACCCTGTCTCAAACAAACAAACAAAAAAGAGTGAGAGATTGTGAAGTTTACGAGATTGGGGATGAAGACAGTTGTTTTTGTATTGGTGGGCTTAATACTGTACCTGGCATTTAGTAGGTACTCAGGAAAATACACAGTTGTGAAGCTGGAAAGTAATGATACTTCTGCTAATCAGAAAGCTCTGGAATATTCTGGAAAATTCACTAGGTGCTTAAGGAGAAAAGGTCCATTGAGAGGGACATCAGATAGTCCAGGAGTCGATAGCAGATAAGTCAGACAACTCACAGAACAGGTGAGCTCTGGGTCTATGCCAAATCCGACATTCTGTAGCTCTGAAAATGAAGGTTGTTTTCTGTCATGTGCTGTGCATTTCCCGGACATAGGGCAGTTTGGTTGAAGATCAGAAACAAGGGAAAGATTCAGATACTCAGGAACCAGCAGGGCAGGGTACTAGATTTGGTCTCATTGCATCCTTGACTTTTAGGCTTGACTGGACTCTGGCAGGTCCAAAAGAGAACTAAGACACAGAGAGCTTAGGAATGTGCCCACACCGAGATGCGGGTTACTGGGGATCTGCCGATACAGGATGGTATCTTCATGGCAAGGGGTGTGAGCCCCAGGTTTGAA